GGGCCGGCCCCAGGATGTGGTTTTTGCCTTTAAAAACATCACAAGACCAAGGCCCGAGGCCGCTCTTCCTTGGTTGCTCCTCGGGAGATGGTCGCTGGCCAGCTGGAGTGAATAAACTGCCCTTTTCTGCACGAGTCGTGTGTAAGTGAATTCTTGCGGGAGGATGCCTCACAACAATACAAATTTTTTCCCCCAACTAACTGGAAACAAAGCAAAGCTTTGTGCGCACAGGTCTGTTAAAATCCATTAAAATCCTCCATTAGAATCCTCCACTTATTTCTGCTGTCTCACCGTAGCAGTCAAAGTGGATCGCTCTCCTTTGGTATAACGTGTATGTACAAAGCACGTGTGCAGGGACTGAACATTTCTTAAGCAGGCGAGACCTGAACATGCTCATGTGCTGAACGGAAAGGTCAGCAGCGAGGGAGAGCGTTCCACGGCCGGAGACGCAGGGTCACGGATGGAGGGCCCCTAGGAATCGGGAGGAGTGGCAGCTCTTCTCCACAGCGGGGAGAGGATGGAGGTGGATCCAGATAAGACGCCTGCTCGCTCCCTACAGGCCTTTGTAAGGAAAGACGGACAGGGCTGTCGGGGCGGGGTGTGGCGAGAGAGCCGGAGCCGCTGCGCGCCAAGGCTCTGCAGAACCGCCTTCGGGGTGCCAGCGTGTTCATTTTCCAGATGAGCAATCAGAAGCTCACAAAGGACGAGTAATTCGCTCAAGCCCACCCACACAACCAAGGCATGGCCGCAGCGGGACCCAAGCCCACCCCTCAGCCAGCGGAGCCCAGGCCCTCGGCCTCGCGCATGCGCCCTGAGACTCGCGCGCGCTCCCCGACCCAGAATTCCCGGGGCCTGGAAGAGACCACAGGCTCAGTGCGAGGGGAGTCCGTGGTTAGTGCGGCGGCTCGTGCTGAGCCCCGGCTCTCCAGTGCCCCCCTCCCTTCTGTGAGGGATGGGATATTCCAACTCCTTAAGTGCCCGGGGCCGGGTGCGGGAGGCCTTTCCACGACGGCGGTCATAGAGGTGGGTGATGTCTCCGGCTGGCGCTAGTAGCTGGCGGCAACGGAGGGTGAGGAGGTCGAGCCTCCGGGCCCTACGCCCACGCGGCCTTCGGGGCGCCCGGAGACGTGGCGGCACCGGGCGTTGGCGTCTCGCGGGGCCGCG